GGGGTAAACGGGACGATGCGTATTCCGCGTCGAGGCGTTATCCGCGTGTCATATGTATTATATGGGAGGGAGAAACTTGGCGATTTTTTTCCTCAACGTTCCACTTTATTACTGCTTTGACGCGGCCCGTGCATTTTTCATGAGACAATTTTCTCTGTCATGCCGCCGACCCATTATCCAGACGCGTATCGCATTGACGCGCGCGCGTACGAGAGAGTGAGAGAGAGAGAGAGAGAGAGAGAGAGAGAGATAACGAAGAGAAAGTGCGGACATGCCTCGAAAATGTTACGTACCCGGTACCCGGGGTAACACGTGTAGATTCGCCGATAGTCGGTCGATTAATTTCGCGGGATCGCACGCTAAATTGCATCGCACGACGTGCCGAGACGGGAGAGATCGTGTGTACCGCATGTATATACACATGTTTTATATATTACACATCTCGCGCTCTCGAAAGCGAATTTAATTAAACGCCGCTTCGATCGGAGATTCTATTGCGAATCCATCCGTGATGCGCGCTTCGAAATAAAACGCACGGCGAATTTGACGCGCGCGAAGCGGCTTCATCCGTTACCGATGAGGGGCAATATCGTGGGATATGCGGCGAGAGAGCGCGGAAAGTCGTAATAACAGACTCAAAATGGGAAGCAACGTAATCTTGACAGGGCACGTTCATCTTACGTTACTCAGCAGTAAAATCGGAACGTTCTCCTCTTGATGGAAATCGACGTGATGGAAGGAATGGGGGATTGGGGGAACGGTTAAATGTCAGTTCTTCAAGATTCGACGAGTTAATACTGCCAGGCAATCAAAGGGTTTACCTAGTAGCCATTATTTAATTATCGGCATAATTTTAAGAGAGCCACTTATGGACGAGCGGAATAGTGACGAGCCACCAAGCCGGTTATCTAACGATCATCTCGAGAGGAGATCTTTTGTGCGGACGACAGGCGGGAGGGCGGGTGTGCGTTGCAAGGCGAGAAGCTCGATTCTTTGTGCGCGAACTTACTTCTCGACGACGATATTTCTTTCTAATTTCTCACTCAAATTGCCGCTATTTTGTCGCAAAAGAAAGAAGAAAAAGAAAAAAAGAGAAAAGGAATGGGCCGATCGCAGAGGACGGTTAAGAAAGACTTCGGGACTTCAGGAGCCACGTATTAAACGCGCGATCGTTATTTCGCCATGAGACTATTTTGACATACGTAAAATAAAACCGAGCCGCCGGTAATGGCGGATGATGACTATCGTTTACATGCGCGCGTAATCGGTTCCCGCATAGCCGGAATTTAAATGCCTCTTCAAAGCTCCTACGGCGGGCCACGTTCCCCTCTCTCTCTTTCTCTCTGATTTCTCTCGCCGGTGCATCAAATTCGAACTTGAGGAAGGTCGACGCACGCCGACGCGCGCAGCATTATTAAAATAAATTCATTAAGCCGAAACGCGCTTACGGAGTAACACTGCACGGTTGGCGCATCGTAAGAAATTCCCAGTGCATGCACACCGTGCAATTATATTGTCATTAGCGGCATCGTGTATGTGCGCGATACATCGCCTCTGTATTGGTGCAGCTTCGCGATGCGCACCCGGGGGGGGGGGGCGAAATTGGCGTTCTCGGGAGAGACCGAACGTGGGACACGCGTGGTAAAAACTGCGACTCGTCGTTAAATTTCGCGACGGAGAGAGAGCGCGATTTTTGCGAGTTAAAATCGCACGAGTGCGATTTTATCGTCTTTTACGATCGATGACAATTTCGCGAAATTCATTTCGAGCGCGAATTCGCGTAAAAAGGGTGGCGAGAAGCGGTCTCTTTTCGGATATCGATCGATAAGGAATTGATTAATATTCCAAGAGGGCGTCGTTCGATGCGCTAAGCTAAGTCAGCGATATGTTGTCAGCGAGAAAACACGTGCCAAAAAGGCCATGAAATTATGTAAATGCCGAGTCGTGCAAGGTGTTTGGATAATTGCACGTACGGTCAAAACGCAGCCCTTACTTGAAATCACATCAGGAATGCTGAACGCGCGACTTTGCGCGTGGAGAAGAGAGGGAGAGAAGGGAAGAGGGATGGGAAACGACCCCTCATCAGTGGCATCGCCCGCTAACGCATCTCGGATGCGCGCGATCGAGCTCGTTTTCACGTGTTTTTGCAATACTACCGACATTAATCTTTTTCCGAACTGTGCGCTCTCACCGTGCACTTTATGCTGAATGTCCGATTGTTATTTTTCCGAGAAATTTTATTTTAAAAGTTCGGCATTTAATCAAATTTCTTTCAAGAGTACATTGATTTTAATATAGTATTTTTGTTAAATTCTCTCTGATTTTACCTTGCATTTTTCAATTAAAAATTCTAGAAAATTTTGAGCATATATATGACATTTTCTTTACAATTTTTTTTTTTCTAGATTCGACGTTTTTACTATAAAGTTCTATGCTTTTTAAATAAAAGTCTGGCCTAAATTTTTGACGTTTTATAAAATAGGCTAATTTCTCAAAAAAAAAAAGAATGTTATATATATATATATATATATATATATATAAAGTGTTGGAAAATTTGTGTTTTTTTGTTAAAAAATGTGCCGGTTAAAATTTTCGTGTTAAATATTTAATAGATTCATCATATATTAATTTAACATATTGCTGTTGTATTAATTGAACTCAAATCTTTAATTATTAAAACAAGTGAAAAAAGATATATAATATACACATTTTGCTAAAAATGATAATGAGATCTTACCTTCGTCTTGCTTCCGCCAATGCTGCCAGGCCGGATACTTCCCGTCTCGTAGAATCTCGTGAGTATCTTGGAGACGCAGCCGTGGGACACGAGTAGCTGCCGCGAAATGTCGCACGGCCTGACGCCGACCATGGCGAGCTGCACGATCCTCTGGCGCACGCAGTCCGGCAACGGTCTGCCGTTCACAAAAACGCCGCCTAATTGATTTACCCCGGCTTGTCCTGAAACAGTCGATCGCGATTACACCGGTTAATAAAGCGAAATAACGATAACGCGCCGATAAAGGAGCCGGAGTCTGCGACATCAAGCTGCAAATTCGAGATTTCGCGGCCAAAGGTACCGCGAAAGGTGTTTATCGATTTAGGGGACGGACAAGTCGGAAATATCCGCTAATAGCGCGCTCGCGATCGTCCGGGAAGGTCGGCAGGTGCATTTTTTGGCATGCGGTCCTGGCTAGCCCTCTAATGACATCGTTACGACGAATATCACGGAAAGGACCTTCCCTCCCTACCCTTCCATCCGTCCTTTCTGTTGGCAAAGGCAAAGACGTGTCATTATTTTCTGTAATATTAGGAAGGAGATCGTGTATAGCGATTTCACAGCGAAATCCCGACGACTCCTTACTCCTCGAGGCTCATTTGTAATTAACGTGGAATCAGGTGAGCATTTCGCTGCTCTTATGCAACCTGAATTACGAGACAAACATATTAAGTGTTCGTTAACATATACGACAACTCTTGTCTCGACACTTATGGGCATACGCTTTTTACGAAATGTGTTTTATTTATTTCGCGTGTAAAGACATCGCGTAAATTATTTCCTGTTTATGCGCGATTATTATATCGCCAAAAGTTTCTTCAAAAATTTCTTCAAGTGTTTCCAAATGTATAATTAGATGATATCTATTCCCTTTTACTGTTAAACAACTTTCTGTTTAATAAAACTTCGAGGTTCCGGAACCTAATAAAATTAACATAACGTTCTGACGAGAAGATCTTGGATGTTTAGACTCATCGCAGATATTGACAAGAGAATCCGGATGACAGTCGTTTTAGAGATGTAGCTCTCGTCTTTTTTTTTTTTTTATATTTACACGTCCATAAAATCTTTAATCACGTAATTCGTACTCACCGGCTTATTGCAATGTGCAGATTTAAATGACAGTAGGTGGCAAATTATTTATGTATTACACGCATTTCTACGATACGTACGTTTTGTATAAATCAATTGACGCGCGCGGCTCAAGATTTTATAAAATCGAAATTATTCCACGAACGGTATCGTAAAATTGTAATGCCAAGCTCGTCTCATGTGAATAAAAACGATCACCGACCGATCGATCACCGATTTTATGTCCGCTATAAAGAGAATGAGCGCTTAAACGATTCGCAAGTTTGACGCGCATCAAAAGGCGAATAATATTTAAGTTGTACGATAGTTTCTGTTTATTTTTTTGGGCATGCAAATTACATGAAATCGTCACCTAGAAAAACAAGAAACAAATTGTCGAATCAAAGCCGCGTCATAAATCTTGATTGCGAAAAAAGTCTTCGATTCGCGATCACTCGGTAATTCGTATCGTGACTCTTAGTTGATGGCATAATTATTACACGCGATTCACGTAATAATTCTATGGAGATTTCTGTCAATTAATATTTAATTGGTATCTATTACTGTTCTTTAATTACAGAAATTGATTTGTTTTCTAATGTATCAAGAATTATAGAGATTTATTATTAACTAATATAAATATTATGATTAATAAATATTATTATTAATATTAATATTAGTAAGAAAAAGGACGCGAGAGCAATCTTCCGCGGTTACGACCTACATCGATAAACCGAGGAAATATATAATCGTCGGTCAGATATATAAATTTAACGAATAATAACACGTAATGGGGATAATGGGGTTTTATTCCTCGGCGATTATTCTCGACGTAACTGAGATGAAGCCTGAGAGGGGCCTGACACATAAGCGGCGTTACTAACGACGATCCTTTCCCCCCCTTGAAGGAATATAAAAAGAATAGAAAAAGGCTGCGAAAACATTAAATGCCACGGGCAACCTATATAAATCGAGCCACGCGCCTTCACGTAGAAGACGGATGCACGAGAACGAACTGTGCGCGCCGGAGGACGATCGCTAATTATCATCCGCGCCGGCTAATTATGTCATTACCAGCACCGATCACCGACGCCGACAGCATCGGACCGGACCGGCTCGAGAAATAATGATCCGAGGACCAAAGAAAAGATTTTCGTCAATCTTTTCCACTGCCATTACGTTCGGATTCCTCGAATCCCGCGGGTTTTATTTAGCGCTTTACCAACTAATTGACGGACGATCGCCAAGTATATTCCCGCGATGATTCTTACTTCTCGATGAGACTTTCATGCTCTGGAATAATCGAAAGACCAAACGCGATTATAGTCGCGTAATGTCGACTTTCGTGTCTGCGAAAGTTATCCGGTTTAAGAAGACACAGTCTACAATTTACATGAAACTTATTTTTAAAATCACTCATTGAAAGATCTCACATACAAGATCACTTTTGGTTTTTTTTCTCGAATAAAATTATATTTTCTCTTACTTAAATTTATTTTCTCATTAGTCATTGCGACTAATGAGAAAATTAAGATTGGATATAAGTGGCCGTTGAAATAAACGTAATCACCGCAAAAGAACTATTATGTTCCAGACACAAAATTACGAAACGCCGCTTTTATAATTTTATAACGTCGCGAGTGTACGTGACACTCGCAGCATTATGGTCGTACGAGGTAGAAATTGCTGATAATAACCATCAGTCGAAGGTGTGACGGATTGTCCTTATTGGATAATTTAAGGGTCTCTCGATTGGCGTGACAGGAACACATCGGTAAGACTGCGACTCATTTTCGGGGAAGAACTTATTACGCTTCCAGCTGTAATACGCGTGTCACGTGCTCGTATACGTATTTTAATTACATTATCAATTATGCTACAAATATCTAATGCCATATACAAAAGATTTTTTCTATCGATAAATAAATATTATATGATATATTTAATCGCGCGTTGGCAGAATGCTATTTTATATACATTTCCTACTTTATACATTCTACTAAATTAATAATTTTTTTTCGACGATTCTCGAGTAATCGATTAATTATTTGTCCCTTAATGTCTTCCATTCGCTCTGCCGAGCTCAATCTGTGACGCGATTGCACGAAGATTATACACGCTATGCGTTTCGGACGGATGTGACGTGACGCGAAGCGACTGACGCACAGCGGGCCAAATTATTATTACGGCAAAAACCGGCCGAAATGTCTTTATCTAAGTGCAAATCTGGATCCGGCGGATCCGTCGAAATAATGGAACTGCGCGTTAACGGCGTGGCTTCTGGCTTCGCGCATTGTAAGTAACACAGTCCACTCGTTTATGCGAAACAAAAACGCACGCGCCAACATCGAAATACCGGAAACGGCAATCCGCAAAACGGCCAAAGTCGAGAGACGGACACGGGGATGGAGAGTGTAGAATTAGAAAAAAAAAAGATGAAATGCGCTATAAATTTTGATGCGAACATGACCGCGAGACGCGCGGTTCAAGTAACTGTTTTCTGCACTAACGGGACGTTTGCAACAATTAAAAGCGCGATAAACCGCGCGCTTGTCGTAAACGGCGAATCGAATGTCGAAAGGATCTATTTCGGATCGTTAAATATATAAATGCGCATTCAAGAAATATATATTACGCTTACTACCGCTTTGCCGACTCGATGAGTATCTTGGGAATTTTACGTTTATGCGAAATATATATCCCAAGTTTCCAGAATTATCTTCTTCTTTTCTTCACTTTTATCAACAGGAAAATTATTTATAGATAAATAATAAATTTTCCGTAAGTAATTAATTATGATTAAACTTGAATAAAAACATTTTTATGTTTGCATTTGCAATGTTTGCACTACGAATGCAGTGTTTACACAAAGACCATCGAAAGATGATTTTTTTCAAGTTTCTGCTTTTTTCATTGTTTCGAGATTATTTTTTTTTTGTACGTCTTATCAGAATTAAATAAAATTGGCGTAATTTAGTTTGTTATTTAATTACTCATATCAGATTTATTTCGTTATTTTTTTCAAATGGATAAAGGGTTTTGAAGTTATTTTTAAAAATCATCAACAAAACATGATTTTTCGAAGTTTATTAGCTATAACTTTTTCAACGAAGCGTTTCCGGACTTATGTTTATCGGAACTTTCTTGTTCCAAATTCAATTTTCTATAAGATCCTGAAGTTTCATTGACCTGACCTGGAACACCCTATATACATATAAACGTCTTTTAGAGATTCTGTGAACCTGGGTATTTTTTAAGAGTATCTATCAATATGTAAGAAAAGATATGACTTTCATCTTTTCTGAAACGCCAGTTAATTTGTGAGACGCGCTGTTGTATTTGACTTTGATTAAACCTTTCATCGATACTATGGTGATTCTATTAATGGAAATTAAAAAGATTTTATGAGCCGGAACGCTGAGACTCATACATAATTCTGCACCAATCAACTATTTCGACACTGTTTTTTTGAATTGACACGATTTCACCTTGATTCTTGATTCATCGTTGACGGTAGACAGCTTGTTAGATCATTAATTATAATAAAATAATAAAATAGTTTAGAATTTCTTATCATTTTGGTTACACGCATGTTACACTATCCTACTCATTTTCTTAGAAAGAAAGTGTCAAGTCTCGATTTACACATATCTGTTTTTATTGCAGACATATTTAATATAAATGAATACGTTTATATATAATGTAAATTTTTAATTTTTCTTTGACTTTAATTTTTCGATTCATGTATCATTATTACTTTCCGATCAAAAAATCACGATTACCTTATATTATTGTTATATTAAAAGTTATGATTATAAGTTATTAATATTAAGTTATTAATTTTTACATAATGCCTTCTTATCTTTCTGCTCATCTTTTTCCAGCAAAGTACACAAATTGTCGAGAGCATAGGGTACTTTTGAGAGATACTTTCGCGAGTGCATAAAAGAACATCTCTCCGCATATAATACTGGCTTAGCTTAGAATTAGCCGGCTAATGCGATCGCCAACAACGATCCCTATCGCGCTGGCCATTTAAGGCCCTAACCAAACTCTACACCTGCCTACCTGTAATCATGATACGCGACCATGCCAACGCATTTTTTTCTCTCCGACAAGAGCGAGCACGTCGCATCGAGAATCGCGATGCCATCGTTTCGAATCAATGCCGAATAGCGTGTCTCACGAATCGACACGTATAGGTCGCTCTTCAAGTCGTTTGCTATCGGCGATCCGTCATCATCTGTCTTAAAAGAATACACGGGAACGAGATAGCCGTAAATGGGAATGTATTAAGATGCTTAACTACGACGGCTATTATTAAGCGTTTATCGCTCTAATGATTATCTGCGGCTTGAATGTTCCTGATAATTAAAAGGTAACATATGTAATGAGTTCACTGATCATTAAAAGGTAACGTTGAAACTGCGAAGATGCACTTTAGGGATTCTGATAACATCGTCTAATAATAATAGTATCTGTATATGATATGTGATATATGATCTCTATAATTTGCTCCCAATTTTCCGATCTAATTCTCTTATAATTATATTTCTTATAAATATATCTCTTATAATTTTCCGATATATGTACAAAAACATGAGTTTCAAAACTGATTTATTCGCACGATTCGTAAGTAAAAAATCGTTATACACATTAAAATGTTTTTTCTTTCAAGATTTCGCTACAATTTGTTAAAAATATTGTTACAAGTGATTTAAGAAAGCTGTCAACAATTTCTTTATTGCAAATTGTTTGGCAAGATTCACGTTGGTGATATTAATCAACATTTCTACTTATAATAGACTGATAGCTAAAGAATATACTTTCTTCAATTTCGAAAATTTCTCGTTAGTATCTCATCGAAGGAAGGAAAGATTGATCGATCGATCGGAATTCAGGCAGGATTCTTGATACGAACATCACGGCCAGGTCAAGGAGGGGAGGGCGAGACGGGAAATTGTAATTAAACTCGTTTAATAATAGACCCGTACATTCTCGGTATATTTGATCCATGTTGTAAAATTCTACGTTAATTACTGTCAAATTGCCTTCTAAATCGTAATTTAGCCTCGAGTCTACCAGAGTAAGCGAGAAGAAGGATTTTTACGTAGAGAGAAAGAAAGAGAAGAAGAGAAGGGAGAAATTTTAATTTTCACTACACGTGATTTTGTGAAAGAGGTTGTCCTGTGATCTCGCCGACGCGACGGTAGCTGACCCCGTCCCGAGGAAACCATAACGATGTGTTACATTCCCTCTCGCATAAATCAGGAAGCGACGCCGGACGAATCGTGGGATTGGCTATTTAGCAAACCGGCCAGTCGACGGTCAGCGCGATGTCTTTCTCGTAAAAAAATTAGCATACTAGCTATTTGTATACTACTGGGATTTAACTCGAGATTTAACCCCTCTGGCTGCGTCTCACGTAATGCTGCTTTCTCGAAAATTTCCATTAAGACGCATTTGACAGAGAAACGCATCTACTCAATTACGAATTTATTGTCTAAATTTATATCATTTCTATAATAATAGAGTTTATGAAAAATGACAATGTAGTGCAAATAAATGACAAATTTTAACTGATTATATTAGTTTACAAGGTTTTGCGCCAGAACATTTGAACACTGTTTCTAGGGTAATTTTCAAGCTGAAAACAAATCTGTTATTAAAAAATTTTTATCGAGTCCGATGTTCGAGATTTACCAAAAGTTATTTTTACGATATATAGCGAATTTTTTATTAAATTTAGAAAACAAATTAAAAATGTTGAACATTACATTTTTGTTACACGTCCGCACAATATTTTCGTGAACAAACGGTGATATAATACAATGAAATTGTAAGGCAAACCGTAATATTGCTAATTTGCCATATCTAAAAAATTTGACCCGATGAAATTTTTCTGACGACAGATTTAAACTCAGCGCTTCAAAATATATTTAAAAAATTCATGGTTCCATTTCTGGCATTAAAAAAAAGTGTGAAATTTATAAAACTAGTATTATTTACTTAAAATGTCGCTTGATTTTGACTACAGAGAATTCTCTCAAGCCCGACCAGAGAGACGCGGTTTATTTTCTGATGAAGGAATGAAATTTCAAATGCAAAGGATCTCAAGAACGGATATGTACTCACCGGTGTGCGGCATGTCGACGACGAGCAATCACGTCAATCTGAAACAGAGCAAGTACAGAGCTCTTTAAGACTCTCAACGGCGAACTGTAAGTCATATAGTGCAACATGAAACGTATATACAGCGCGCATCGCGCCGTATATTAAATCCTTGCGAGCACGTACATATATGCGCGCGCGTGTTACACCGTGCGACGTATTATAGAGTATAGCGGGAGTATAGCCTTCGCCATTAATGAATTTAAATGTATTCAAAGGGCGCGCTTGACGCTTGACATGGCAACCCTTAAATATGCAACCGTACCGATAAGCGAAAGCGCGGCAAAATATTGCCGCCGGTGGTCGCCGACCGTGACTCTCATTCCCGAACAGATCGTCAAGATCGGCGACCGGCTCCTCGCCCTCTCCCCCTCCATCGCGACAACTTCATTTTCATATTTTCGTTTCGCAGTTTTTTCGCCGCATAAATTGGCAATTTCGCTGATGGTCGTTTTCACATTCTTCTTTTCCATCGTCCATAACATTCGCAATCGATCCCATTGACATTTCGTTCCTCGATCGATGTATATATATGTCTAACCCCATGGCTGTCGCAGCGACAGAGGGTAGAAATCGCTATCTCGAGTTTGAGAACTGCGCGTCGGACAGAAGCGGAGCGAGCGGAAAACTACGTGGAATGCGTGCGTAGCGTAGCGGGTGGCGTGTACTTTGTGATGCAAATTAATGCACGATTACCGAATCACCCCTTGCTCCACCCCTGCACGACCACCGCGACTCCTTCGCTCTCGCCGACTACCCTCCTCCGCCTCTCCTCGCACAGGTGTGTATGTACGTGTCTTATTTGTGTAAAGCGTGTACGGCGCAGCGGGGACGTTGGTGTACGTGTAATAAGGTACGATCCGCCTTCACCCCCGTGACTCGATGCTTACCCCGGCATTAGGTCTGGTTACACGCTCGCTCCCCGGCCTCTAATCTGATGTAACTATTACATACGTTACGCGGTATCCATATAGTCGAAATGGCTATGCGCCGCACGGAGCCTCGACGAAAACTCATTTCTTCATCCGCGGTGTCCTTGCGATACTCTACTTTCTGGCTAATTGCTAATTTGCATCGCTTCGCGATCGAGAACACTATTGTTTTTTTTTTTCTCTCCAATCTGGCAAAATACTTTCTAATTAGTCTCATTTATCGTTATTTCTCCATAAATGATGAATTAAAGTATTATATAAACTATTAAAAATGCAAAAAAAGATGTATCGCGGTGAGTCTCCAATTTTTATGAAAAGAAAAGTCGATTACATGCGGGAGAATGATAACAACGAGGGATAGCTTTTTGTCGCGAAAGTACAGGTGGTTCTTTTGGCTCGTCGACGATGCGCGTATGGCAATCGCATCGACAAAGATAAAGTCTGTTGTAATGAGAATTGAGTGATTATTATAAATCAAACGTACCCGCGGCTACAGCGAGCCGGAGAGCCGTCGCGTTTCTCGCGTGCCTTCTGTGTTTTGCCGATGTTACTCTTGCAAACACGTGTCCCGCCCTTTTCCTTTCCTTCTTCCATCTTTCGCTCTTCTCGCGGACCTAAACGCATGCAAACGTTGCAAACACGCGTCGTGCTCTCGACATTTGTACGCGGATCTTTATTCTCTCGCATTACCCGTAAAAAAACATAAAAACTCCTAATACTTTCTTATATTATAAAAATATCTATTTCCATCGTCTCAAACGTGAAAAAGAAATTCCTTTCCGATAATTAAATTCCTTTCCTTACAACTGGAAACTCTATAAAAGTCAGAGAAATTATACATCCTGTCAATTAAGAAAAAAAAAAGCGTACTTAAAGATTAATACGAGAAATCTCGATTATGGACATTTCCCATCGATTCGTAGAAGCCTTCCGGCAACGCCGAGAACAACACGAGTCGATTTGAGAACCGCGACGCCGCGGTAAATCGCCAGTATAAGGTCACGCTTTTACGTGTAAGCCCTAAGCGAAATCTAGTTTTTGTTTATTCATTAGGCTACCCCGCGCTTTAAGTGGTATGTGGAGGAAGGCTGCCTCGCCGCAGCGGCGACGGTGGTGCAGGACGGGGGAGGAAGGAGGGGGAGGGCGGTGGAAAGGGGGGTGGACCGCCGTATCACCGATACGCCACCAGCCATAAAAATCTGAATATATTAGGCCTACATGTGCACGACATCTCGCTCGGATCGTGAACACGTTACCCGCGATAATCTACGCTCGTTTCCAGCACACTTTGCACGTTTATGCGTATACCCTACCGGCGGCTACCGTACGCGAGTACGCGGGTTTTATCTCTCTTCTCGGCGTCGTCTTCCTCTACCGCTACCAATTCTCGAATCGAATCATCCTGTATCAATTAAGGATCGTTTTATTATTATTCCGATTCGCCGCACCGCTCTCGATCCGGAANGGGATTTCTTTTGTTCCTGGGAAAAGTCAAGGAATTCTCATGAAATTTTATTGCAAGTCGGGAAATTTTTAAACAAATTTTTTCTATCATCATTTTTCTCTTATATCGTAAGCAGTTGAAAGCATTAAAAAGCGCATACGATAAAGCAACTTATTTTAAAAGTTGCACCAAGAAAATCTTTAAAATATTCTTTTTACCTGGAATTTTGAACAAAAATATCTGGATAATCAGGGAATTTTTTTACAAGATTCGAGTAGAGGGACACTCTGGGTATACAAGTTACGAGTATGTTACGTATTAAGCTGCCAATTGCCTTTCTCACTATACTTGCTCGACAAATTCTATTCTACGCGCATTTTACTTTGATATCCATTTAATAAATTTCATATATGCGTAATCTCGAGAAAATTAAATCGATTTCCGAGCGCGAACTTTACGTGCGCTTTATCCACGATAATGTTCAAGGTTAACATTACCGTTGCATAAATGCATTCGCATTTAATCTTTCGCAAATAACGTAGCGCCAAAATAATCTCGATGCGCAAACGGGGCATGCCGATCCTTGAATTTAGGATTTTTTTCCAGTTACGCGTCCAAATGGCCGAGCGGATAAGCTTCCGAGAGCACGGTAAGAAAGATCGTCGAGAAGGAAGGAGACCGAGAGGAGGGGAGGGACGGGTAATTAGAATAATTCGGGCCGCCGTGGTTCACGCCACCCGGACGAATTTGCATTTTAAATGAAGCGATGGCGTGCCAGGGGCCCCACCGTGCCGCCGAGAGAAGAAAAGGAGAGAGAGAACGAGTGCGGTAGAACTCTGTGCTTTATAGGGAACTTTAATATTTATCGCTTATATCCTCCGACCGCGAATATAAGTATATGTATATATCCGCCTTTTCCTTCCTCGGCCACCACCGCAGTCACGGGGTAAGGGGAGGGGGGGGGGGGGCCCTCGCTCATGTTCATGTCGAAGCATAGCCCCGCTGATTTCCTTCTCGATTCTCCTCCCTTCTCGTCCCTTCCTCCTTCCTTCCCCGTCAGATCATTATCGCGTAATTAGCGCCACTGATTTTCACGTTGCGTCATCGACACGCACATGCACGACGATAATTTTACAATTTTAATTTGTTCAAACGCGACACACATTATTCTCCGGAGACGATTTCTCGCTATCGATCTCTGTCGGAGTCGCCACGGATATTTTTTTTTTTTTTAAATTCCTATACAGATAATCCTACACGGGACAGGTATCGATAAGTATCGAATATCGAAAACTCCCGATGCAAGATACCGCGAGGGGAGTACAAACGTCGCTCGTGCACGTGCGCCGCGGGCGCAAAACTGCGTTCGAGAATGTCATCTATTTAGGTCAGATTATTATCGTGAACAAACGCCATAAACGACGAATATACTTTCTGCTCGTAAAATAACATACTTTTCCACTAATCCGTAAAGAATAATCGTAAAGCGTGCTAGCTCGCGACACACGTATCCGACTCGGGAGATATATGCTTGAAGAAGAAAGTTTAAAAAAAATTTAAGCCACCCGCACAAAAAAAAAAGAAGAAATAAAAGAGCTGAAAGTATCATCGATTATAGCAAACAGTTGAGGGAGCAGAATTAATCGCGGATCGCGGACGCGCCAGCGTATATGTTACAGCTGTAGGGATGAGTTTTTCTCGATACGCAAGCGACACGTATCGACGTTTATGAAAGTCGACGTTGAGATACACCGGGTGTAACGCGATAGGTACCGATCGTATAACGAGATCGAGGCGGATCGGTCTGTCTAATTGGCAAGAAACTTGACGGATAATTTATTTATCGAACCGGATGGCCACAATCGTACGCGGAAAAGGTCCGTCACGGTGTGCTCTTGCGAAGAAATAAAAAAAGGGGGCGCTTCCCCCCCCCCCCCCCCCCCCTACGTACCTGTTGACTTTTTTATGATATCGGCCCGTAGTTCTCCTTCAGCTTTCGAGTGGCATTCGCTCTTCTCGAGGACCCGAGAAGTTTTCGTCCTAGCTCCGTTCTCTTACTTCGGTCCTCTTCCTCTGCCGTCGTTTCAATTTAGCTCGCGTCGAAATGGATACTGATGATACAACGTCATGTTTTGCCGTACGTCGAGAGTCCTGGCGAGACGATTCGTCGAAACGCTTCGTCCTGGCGTGCGTCGCGTGCTCGACTCACGCAGGAAATGACTTCGCTTTCACGGCAATGAGACGTGGACGTGACACGAAAGCCGGAAAGACGGAAAGAGATAGATAAAAAAAGAGCGAGAGAAGGAGGCCGACTATGTATAATAGTACACCCACGAGTACACGTCAGATGACAACATGAAGGTCTTTCTCTCAACGACCACCTTCCGCTGTGCGAACCGATGATCTGCTCTTTATCTCCGTACGCTTCCTTCCGTCGTTCGTTCCCTATTCTTATTCCGCTCCGATACCCGCGCGGAAACGTGCAGTCGACTGTCCTTGATGAAGTCGCGAGATGGACGTTGCTCCTTTATTCGGAGTCATAACGATCGTCGAACGCACGTATACGTTCGAATCCTTTAATGATCCGATCAATCGTGAAAATCTTGATCATTCCTTCGATAGAATCGCGTTCGTAATTAATTGCACAGTCGTAAATATATTGTAATCTCATCGGGAATAGTCTCGTCGATCGTTGCCGTCCCAATCGTCGACAAAATATTGAGATTTCCGCTTGAGTAAAACTTCCGTCTTCACGTTAATGTTCTCTTCCACTTCCACTCGATTGGAGACTCACTGGTAACCACGCGTTCAACTTCCGACTTCTCGGAGAAGAGATTGTAGTCCCGCCGTTTCCTCGGCTTCTTCCTCCTCTTCTCGGCAAGCCGGTGCTTCCAGCCTCGTTACTCGTGCCGCAGAGCACGTGCAGCTACTCCAGGTAGTCAGCGGAGTGGCAAAGTCCGCGCGACGCGAGGGCAAACTCGCGGTGGAGACCGCAAACTGCGGTCGGTCGGCCGGCCCGGCGAACGCGCTCGCGAGGAGAAGGACGTACGTCAGCGAGGCAGTCGGTGAGGCAGAGGTAAGAGGGAGAACTGTGCCTGGACAGGCACAGGTACCGACGAGCGGAATACGGCAAGGGCGCGAGAGCGCAGCGAGAGATATACGCGGGCGTCCGTGCGTGCGCGCGCGCGCGCGCGCAGCAGAAAAAGAGAGAGAAGGAGAGGAAGCGAGAGAGAAGGAGATAGATAGATAGATAGAGAAAGAGAGAGAGAGAGAGAAAGAGAGGCGGTCAGGACAGGATGATGTGGACCACGCGGAGGACACGGCGTGTCTGAAGTGGGCTCGGCCCGCAAACGGGGGTTACGGGCTTTGCTTTCGGTCAGGTCCCCCGTACCCTCTGCCACCGCCTGTACTCGTGTCTACTCCTGGTTCGGTCGTACGCGTCGTGTGTGTACGCCGCGGCAAGGAAGAGAGAGAGAGAGAGAGAGAGAGAAAGAATGCAAGGGAGAGAGACCGAGAAACGAATCGAGAGGGAGAGAACGAGAATGAGAAAGGGGGAAGGGGAGACAGAAGGTGACGGTAGCGTGTCGTCGCGTGCTGGATGTTGCATCGGGCAGGTCCGCGTGGCCTGTGACTCGTGGCCCGTGGCCCGGGTTGTGCCCACGGATGGAGAGCGGCCCGTGGCCCCCGCCAAAAGGTAGATAGAGAAAGAGAGAGAGAGAGAGAGAGACGGCAAGATTGGAGGGGTTGACTCGCCCGAGGAAAAAAAGAGAGCCAGGGGGTGGGCGGACAAAACGCGTTTCTCTCTCGTCCTGCTACTCCGACGTGCCTTCTCCTCGTCGAAGCTCCTCCGTAGAGGAGCTCTACCTCTTTTATCTTCTTTTAATTTCCCTCCCTCTCTTCGGCGGTTTTTTACTCGCTCTCTCGCGCGAGGGTAGTTTCTTTTGCGATCATGTGCTCGCCATTACTAGCTTCTCATTTAAATCAGCCGTATTTTTTTTTTTCCAACGCATACACGCGCAAGAGCTGTTATGCGTGACAATTACATCTTCACACAGCGCGCGTGCGTGTTACGTCGAAAGTTTTTTCAACACTTTGAAACTTCTCCACTGTGACACGCACGCGAATGTACGGGATCCGCACGAGCCGCGCTCGGATATAATGCGCCAATTTTTAACCGAATACATTAAAGCAATTTATATATACGCGTTCTGTTAAAAGAGTACACACTCTTATACGTTTGATATTTTTTCTCTTTCACACATTTTTTTCAATCATGCGCATTCGAATCCGCGTGTCCGGTCCTAAATTTTACTCGTTGAATGTAAGGGTGACGTTCAATGTCAATAGGACACGGAACGGACGGCGGACAGCGTTTAGCGGTCCTTTGTCTCTCGTTCGCGAAACACGCAAAAGACGTTTGTAAGGCGAGAGGTTGCGTAATACTCGCAATCCCTTTGAGGAAGACGTAACCGGGCTGTGTGTCGGGACACGCGAGAATCTGTACAATCGGTAGTTCCCGATGAGTTCCACGAAGATCAAAGTACGTGATCGCTTCGCGCGGTCGCAATCTGCGTCAGTCCTTGGCTGAGTTCTTACGCAAGAGGCGTGCGTTTGTCTCTCTCTCCTTCTCTCTTTCTTTCTCGACAATTATACGCTTGAAAACCCTTGTCTCGTGCGAGTCTCAGCACCGCCGTTTTCAAACGATTTGCCTCGAAATACCGGGCAATCCGCGAAATGCCGGGTTCGATACATCGGGTTCGGCCTCTCGGAATCTACATCGATCACGAAGGACGCGAAGGTCGGCAATGAACGGGGTACGATTCGAAAGGTTCCATCGAGCCGAGAAAAATGGTAATTTGCAGGTATACATCGCGAATATTAGTTTGGAGCCGGTATTCGCGTGCTACTTCTCGTCCTCGTCCCTCCCGTGCTCTCGTTTCGCTCCCTTCTATGTAGATCACGTTTACGTATATAACAAACGTAACGCGTTCATGTTTAAAAAAATATCTCTTCGCGTAGAGACGAACAGAACTTTCGAATATGTATCTTGACGGGAAAGAATTAATTCCTCGGGATGATTTAGCATATCGCGTTTAATGTATAGAGCGCCGCGAGCTTTGTTTAATATATAGAGTGTCGAATGACAAATAAACACGAGGGTAACCACCGTGCTCGGTTCATGTAACGACTCCCCACGGAGTGATTGTGCGACCCCCTGACTCCCGATATATTCTTGTATATGAGGATATCCTCTTCTCCCTTGACGTCGGCGCAGGTTGCGCTTCTTCACGGATCATCGCCCATTAACCATCACTGTTTCCGACCCGTTGATTCAAATGTTACGTCGATGGATTCTGAAATACCTCTGTTTAACCGCTTTATCTATTTTTAGCTCCAATTCTCTCGCGATGAACACGTCGCGGAAAAAGGAATCGATTCTATTAAAGTTAATACCGACCAATCTATCCACGTGCAAGTTTTTATTTTTCGAAAAGCAAATCAACGGCGGATCCACTGTGTGCGTCGAGATATCGTCAACGCCCTTTGTTTGTCCGCGCGGAAGCCGTTATAAAACGGAAAGAGGACGACGAAATTTGGGCGATTATTATTACTTAGCCGCAGGTACACACCACAGAACGGAAACTAGGATACGAAATTACGTTACCGCGCGTTACCTTATCAGATTCGACGTAATAGCGGCGAGGGACAACCCCCTTAACGAGCAAAAGATCAGATCATTACGACAAATTAATTTATGGTCGTCGCGCGGAATATTCCAAGGAGGAAGGCGTATCTGACTCCTGGTCTTGAGTATGTGTGACATCCAGAACAGGTGAGCATTTTCAACCCTCGATACATCCTCATCGCGTCCGCTTGGGCTTACCTGACGAATTTCGGTTTTCGCCATCGGCGTATTTAGGTCGCTATTCTTCGCTATTCTATATTGTAAACAGCATAATCCGGTTTTACTCGGCCTTTCTTTTCACTAACGCAATCATGTGAGACCTTGCGACACGCGATCTTGATTAACTTATTTTGTTCAATGATATATTTTATTTAAAAAAATAAATAAATAACGCAGAGATGCCTGCGAGTGGAAAAGACTTTTGTTTCTTTTGCTCTTCTCGATGATGATCTCGTCTAAAATATACAGCTGCCGCTACTATCGATCCATCAAAGATCCAAAGATTTCAAAGATATTAGGAACGCGGCCCTTCTCTTTCGTTGACCTAGAGAGAAATTGTCTCTTTTTTTACGGCTTAACACACCGCAGATTTCACGGCTGCGGCACCTCGATCAAATATTAATCTCATGGATGAAATTGTAATTTATGGAGAGGCGACGAAGAGAATATGAGGAATCTAAGAAAAAAAATTGTGCGCAAGGTGCACCTACCATTTTTCTAAGAGGATATTAGGACGGAGCAGGTAGCCCGGGGTATTTTCGCGCTTCTCCAAGATGCGACGAAATGTTTAAGCATCAGCTCTCTCTCTCTCTTCTCTTGTTTTCAGATGCTAATAATTTATCTACAAAGCTGTGAGACGTCGCAAGATTATTCGCGCGTTTTCGTTGATAACCGGTTTGCGTAAAAGATGTCACATCGAGTAAATTATCATTCGCGAATATAATCTTTAATTTTTGCCATTTTTCGTCGATATCGCACATTATATTCGTCGTATCAACGGATATGGCTGGCGGCTGGATTAAATTGTTACGTCCACCCTCTTCCACTTACTTACCCCGTCCGTCAGATATCGAATTCCGGTCGAAGCTGCCTGAAGCAGCGTCGATTCCCAGAGTCGTAGGATCGATGACCAACGTGCACCCTCCGTCCTTCGCCCCCTAATCGAGCCCTGGTCGCGCGCCCCGCAGCTCTCTTAACGACGGATGATAGTATCGCGCGGTCTGAGTGGCCCGATGACACCCGCGCTGATACACCCCGGCCCTGTCATTGGTCAGCCCCGCCGGATGGATGGTATTAGAGGGTTTCACCGATTGGCGGCCTCTTTGGAACGCCCAGGAAGGATGCGCAGCTGCCAGGACATGCGTAATCCGTCGGCTTGATCGACGTCGAGGGAGTATAACGCGCGACGTAACGATTATTTCCATAGTATGCACCACCACATTTTACCACCACCGTTCCTTCCCTATAGACGACACTTGACGTTCTGCGATTGTCGCCGCCTTTCTCGTCCCTTCAACGTAACGCAACTAACGTTGAATTCCAGCGAATCGATTTGAGTTAAATCTACGCCGTTCAAAAATTAATTGAGATACCGTCACATCTAGAAATGTGATGGTACATCCTTCACGTCAGACAATTCATGATCGGTTTATAGACAAGGATAAAATATTTATCTCGCGATAGATATATACGAGTGCTCGATCGAGTCGCGAGTCGCTTTATAAAAATCATCGTATCAACGGGTATCACGGAGGTGCTGCAGGTGCTGTTCAAATGTCACGTAAATGCGTGAAAGAAATCTTTGTCATTCAGACGCACAGGTTCGGAGAAACCCAGATGCTCGGAGCTACGAGCAGTGAATTTCGATAATTGCAAGCAATTGCTTAAAATCGTAGCAGGTGCCAATAATGAGCGATACTTCGTCGATTTGTAACGGCAGTGTACAAGAAATTCGTCTTATTTATCTCGTCGTTTTTCAAAGCATCACTCTAAAGAGCTGTAGGGCGAAACGCGTTCATCAATCGCTAACAAAAACTATCTGTATACCTGAACATTTTGCTGTATTTTTTTAAAGTATATTTGAAAAAATTATATCATTTGAGGAAGAATACAATTTTTTGACAAGAGGATAGTTTAATCAATGCTGTTTGTTCCGAATCAAATTATTCAATATTTTGCCAGAGTTTATAATAATTGATCGTATAGTTCTTTTATAATAAATTCACGATATAAGCGCAAAGCGAATTCTTCCTTTAGGAACGAACAGAACGAAAGCGAGGTATCCAGAGGCAAGGTAGCGGAATGATAAAAAGGACGAGGGCAGGCCCTTCTCGCCGATTACCGGTAACCGTGTGCCAGAAAACGGATGCAAAAACAAATGCGGACGGTGCTTAATGTAACACCTCGCACCTAAAGAGAATCAGCCGCGTCGTTATATATTATACTATCCCGAAATTGTCGAGCGAGATAAGAGATAATGAAACGCGCGCATTTATCGCGAGA